CCAGTGGCATCGATGATTGCAAATTAGGATTATAAGGAGGATGTCTGTCTGTAATACCAACCTTGATTAAGAAAAAAAAAAAATAGTCATCGTCGTGCTGTGGATTCACACACCACCCACCCCTGACATAGGCATCCCTTTGGAGAAAGCAGCGGTTTGAGTCCTGGCTGCGCTCCATGAAATCCAGCTCCCTGCTAGTGTGTGTTGGGGGGGGGTGGGGGGGATGGGAATACAGTACCATATCGCCCGAGTGCAAATGTAAATCTGTGAAAGAGACATGATTTTCATTTATTGTGGCAGAGTTACAGAGAGAAAGGAAGGTCTTCCATCTGCCGGCTCACTCCACTCCCCAAATGGCTGGGTCGCTCTGCTCTGAAGCCAGAAGGCAGGAGCTTGTTCCGCATCTCCCACGTGTGTGCAGGGGCAAAAGCACGCCCATAAGAGATGCCTGCCTGCTTGTGCCTCAGGGAAAGGCTCAGCCTACTAAGCCCCAGCACCGCCCCTGAAATAATCATGTTTGAATCATGGCGTTTCTGGTACTCTGCCTCACAATGAACAAATCAATCATTGCTTTTGATTCATGATTTTCCTGATGTTCTAGATTGATAGATCGATTGATCAATCAATAGATGATAGATAATCGTGTTTGAACTGAGATTTCTGCCTCTCAGTGAATGAAGGAATGAATGAATGATTGAGTGAATGAATGAAGAGTTAGATAATGATGTAGGAATTTTAGATTTTTTCTGATGCTCTGCCTTGCAATAAAGAAATAAGTAATCATGTTTGGTGATTTTTCTGATGTTCTGCCTCAGGATGGATGGATGACGGTGTACGAATCGAGATTTCTGTGATGCTCTACCTTGAAACGGGGAGAGGGAGATGGATAGGTAACCCCGTTTGGTGCTTTTTCCCCTGTTCCGCCGCCTCGCAGTAGATTGATAGTCATGTTTGAATTGAATTTTTTGTGAGGTTCTGCCAGGGGGAGGGGGAGGGGGAGGGGGAGGGGGAGCCCAAACATAACTCCCCAGGGCATAGTGATCACCCACCCCACTCCGATACTTCATTTCTTTGAAATATCCACACACACAGCATTCGCAAGATCCAAAGGATCACTAAGATTGAGTGAGTAAGCAGCATTCCTATCCTTGGCAGGTCTGGGTGATGACGCGCCACCTAGTGTTCAACTTCTGCACCTACTGACCTTTTTTCGATTTCAAATGGCTCTCCAGCACCCTGGTACTAAAGAGTCCAACTGCAACTGCATGCTTTGTTTTGTTTGTCCCCCCCCCCCCATATCACACCCATGATGGTGAAGTAAGATCACGAGGAGGAAGATATCTGTGAACCAAATAAGTAATCATTTTTGAACTGTGATTTCTCTCACATTCTGCCTCACAGATAATAGATACCGGTGTTTGAAATCAATCACTGTATTTGAATCATGAATCAGGATTTCTGTGATGCCCTGCCTCACATGAAATGAATGACTAAGCGAATACATTGAGAGATGGATGGATAGAGAAGTAAGTGTGTGTGTGTGTGTGTGAGAGAGAGAGAGAGAGAGAGAGAGAGAGAGAGATGGATAATCATGTTCAAATGGAGATTGTTCTGATGCTCTGCCTCACAATAAACACACAAATAATCCTTTTCAAACCCTGATTACCCCTTGTGGTGTTTAGAACAAGAAACAAGCAGTCCCATTTCATGTTGTGTCCCACACCATAGAGCACAACACGTGTCTGAATCTCCTCCCTCTACATGGCCACAATTTGCATTTCTAATCATTTCAGGAAATTCTTACACAGGGTTGGGGGTTGGGAGCCGGGAGAGAGCCATCTCTCATCTGCTGGATGGGGCCTGGGCCAGGGCGCTCTGGCTGGCCCTGGAAGAGCGGCGGCGGATGGACCAGGTGCACACGTGCAAGCAAAAAAGGAAAAAATGCTGTGAGCCTCACTGTCCCTCACT